AACCATAATCTGGTTTGGCATAAGGCAGCTGCTGGTATTCTGCAGAGAAAGATCTTAGAGCTAATGTTTCAATTATCATTTGGACAACTCCTTCTATAATTTAATTCAATTGTATTAGATATAGCAGAACTGTGCAGAAAATACTCACTTGTGATGGACAGCCCAAAGTTAAAGATTATCTACCCAAACTTCAAATAATAATACTGCTGCCTCTTTTACTCCCCTCTTCTGGAAATTTACTTATTCAGGTGGCTGAAACAATTTTGACACCCCCTCCCCTCACCTTCCGGGTAAGGTTATAATGTAACATGAAGAATACTATTTATTAAACCAGTTTTCCACCAACCAGATCGTTCAAGGTAGTTTGGGTTAGACTGTTTTCGTCATTTGGTTGGTGTTAATGAGAGTTATAATCCAAGACATCAAATGAATTCTAGGTTGGAAAAAAAATGAATAGAATAGAATACAATCAAGAATCATGATACAACAATGATAGTCATAGGTTACTAAATAAGCAATCAAATCATACTAGGAAACCAACAATATAAATCATAGAGTTTCAAGCAACAAGGTTATAGTCATAAGTGGGAGAAGATTGGTAATAGGAAGGATGAGAATAATAATAATAGTTTTAGTAAATAGTTTGACAACGTTGTGGGAATTAGTTGTTTAGCAGAGAGATGACATTTGGGGAAAAACTGTCCTTGTGTCTATTTGCATCATCTGTCGATCTATTAAGAGCCGTGGTAGCACAGTGTTTAGACTGCAATACTTCAGGCTACTTCTGATCACTGACTGCCAGCAGTTTGGTTGATAGAATCTCACCAGACTCAAGGTTGACTCAGCCTTCCATCCTTATGATGTGGATAAAATAAGGACCCAGATTGTTGGGGACAATATGCTGACTCTGTAAACTGCTTAGACAGGCTGTAAAACATTGTGAAGCGGTATAGAAGTCTAATTGTTATTGCTATCGTTCAGTAGGCAAATTGTAAGGAGTCTAACAGCAGATCTGTGATGGTTTTCAGGTGGGCCAGCACTACTAGCCTTACAAAGGTTTTCATAACCACAGATGTTAGAGCAACTGACTGATGTCATTCAGTTCCTTGATAGAAAGTTTCTTCAGCACTGGGATCATAGAAGAATGTTTGAAGCAAGAAGGAACATAGCACATCTCTAGTGATTTATTAAAGATTCGGGTGAAGATTCGGGCCAGTTGGTCAGCACAAGCTTTTAAGCAAGAAAGAGTTATCATTATTTAAAAAATTATTAGGGCAATCAACAGTGAAAAAATAGCCAGCATGATTGCCTTAACTTTTGTCCCCACTATGAAGCACAGGAAGGTGTCCATAATTGAAAAGTCTTATGGCTCCCAAATACGTTATAGAAATAAGGTAGGTACTGTATATTGCATAGGTATTGTCTCATAGAAGAGAAAAAAGAAAAATACAACATGTTTCTAAAATAGCACATGACATTTGTAATGGAGTTAGAACATTTATGCTCATTAAAAAATATCAGTTTTCCCAGCTTTAAACAGTAGAATATTCAGCATATTAGGACAAAAGAAATAATTATGGCTTCACCTGCTACAATAATTATGTAGCCTTTCCTTAAAGTAGTGTAGTGAATTAATTATCTAATATTGCCATTATAAAATACATGAAGAATCTCTTCAAATTTTAGAAGTATTTGAAATTCTCTCTTAATTGGAAAATCATGTCCTAATGCTCACATTTCACAGTATGTTGCCAATATTCTGTGAGAAGTGTATAGAGCATTCCTTCCCAACTTTATCAACTTCAAGAAGTATGAATTGCAACTACCAGAATTCCTCAGCCAGATAGTTATGGAATTCTGGGAGTTGAAGTCCACACCTGTTAAAGTTGCTGAGGTTGACACATGCTAGTATAGAGTAATGGATAGGAATTTCAATGCTGCATTTATCATGCCTCCCATCTCTCCATAATTATCTATCTTTTTCTATTAATATTTGGAATTGCAGTCTCTGAATGGTGTCAAATAAGAAAAAAAATCTAAAACATTACAATAGCCTAGAATTTCACGTTGTTGAATGATAGTTCCAAGAGCTTTATATGCTTAAAATGCACTAACTAACTGTTGAATGATAGTTCCAAGAGCTTTATATGCTTAAAATGCACTAACTGACAGTAAAAACACCTAAAATTAAATAGGTAAGATTCTTTTGAGTAGGTAATATCCCTAATAATAATTCAGTTCAAACAATTTTTGGCCCACATAGGTTCTGGCTTAAGTAAACCTGATTCTAAGGATAAAGTTCAAAACATAATGCACCCATTTTTGCACATGTGTAAAACTGACGTACTTTTGTGCATGTGCAAAGTGTGAAGTTCAGTATAATCAGTTTACACAAGGTTCCTGAATTGGAACCTGCCTAACCAAAGGATTGCCTACAAATGATTTAAGCTGACTTTATGCAGAAGCACAATGTTTTATGCCAATTTTGCATATTATAATGGATTATAGAAAATATCTATTTTGGTATAGCTTTTTTAAAATGTGCTTTCAACAATAATAACCTGATTTTATTCAGGGGCTACTGCAAAACGCAAGTTTTAGAAACCAAATCAATACAGTAAAACCATTTCCAAACAAATCCTGAAGAAGGGGTCCTTAATGCTCTCTGAACTTGCTTGTTTTCTTGCAGACGTTTTATTATCCAAAGTAGGTAGCATCAACAATGCTAGTTACCTAGTTTAGGTAATCAAATGTCAGCAAGAACACAAGCTCAGAGAGCATCAAGGACTCCTCATGTCAACCCTGAGCTACAAACATTCTCCTTTATTAATTCCTGAATGATTGCATTTGACAAGCATTGGGTACCACAACATAGTTGATGCTAAATCTGTTTATTAAGAGTATCTTGCTGAAATAATACTGGCTCTCATTGTTTATTGCCTCTTCCTGCCTTAACCCAGACCATCTCTCTCTCTCTCTTTCTCTCTGTCCGTCTGTCTCTTCTCTCCCTCTACAGAGCCGAGCATCTCTCGTACCCTGCCACTGCCACCTCCTCTCCCTCCAGCCCGGCCACCTCATGCTCCTCTGGACCATGGATTGCCGGAATCTAAAGGGCAGACTGAAGAGGAAGCCCAGATGGAGCCCGAGGTGGATGAGGGAGCATCTGTGAGAGTTGGGGGATCCCTTCCTCTGTCAGAGGAGTCAGAAGGGCGAGCCAGGGCTGTGAACAATCAGTACTCATTTGTTTGAACCCAGTGGTTATGAGGGGGAAAAAACCATAAGGGAACAAGCCCTTTTACTCTAACCATTACTATATGGAAGTTCTGATGCTGACCATAGGTACCAGATGGGCTTGAATACCCAACAGACTTCTAGACTTTC